AAATGTTTAATTTGATTTTTTTCTCTTCAAATAAATCAATAAATCTTGAGTCCAGCTGTCGCCTGATTTCCCATACCTGAGTCTTTGTTTCCTGAATTAGATGGATCAATTACAGGATCATCTCAATCCCATCTCTCAGGTCCTGTGTCAGTCTTTGGGAGGATTTTTTCTTTTTCTGAAGGACATGACTTTCAGAAACTCTTCTAGATAGTTTTTTCTTTATATGTTTTTTTTCCCAAGCCAGCCACTGCTTCTTCTGTCCTCCACTTGTCTAGTTTCATCAAATTCTTTCAAGGATGCACTGGACATCAACCCAGGTTATGTCAGATTTCTGGATAATAACCTTTTGGATATCACCTTGTTAGTACAAAACCCCTATTTTATGTGTTTTCTTTGTTACTTTTTATAGATTCACTTAGAATTGTGGTAACAGATGTGCTTTTGCAACAGATTGCTAGTAACAAAGTGCCTATAGACATAGTTCAAAATTAGTTATTTGCTAGGTTATTAATAATAACCTTGCTACACATAATAACTTATTATGTGTAGCAATGTGTAACCGTGTTTTTTGCGTTGAGTGTGGTACTTTTTTAAGTCCGAGTTAAGTGGGTTAAACAACGACTGGACTGGATTTAAAATGAGTGGAAAGGCAGCCAAATGTCCAAAGGGAAAAAACAAGTTTAAAGACCTCGGAAAACCTGGAGGATTATTGCTGAAGACTATTTTTTTTAAGATACTGAAAACTTTTGCAGTCCTACACTAAGCTTGTAATGTCACCTTCTCACCATTTGGTGAAGCAAACCCTGGATTTTAATGTTTTCAAATTACACGAAGAAGAAAATGGTGACGAAGAAGAACACGACGTCGCCGGAAAACGCCATTTTGTTGTTGAACCGGATCGGTGGTGTAGAAGCATCGAGAAGCGCCAGTGAAGGTAACATTTTTCTTTTCATTTATCGTTTTCATTGAAAAATGCGATATAGTTAAGCCTTATGAATATGTATTTCATTTGAACACAGAAGAAGGCCGCTGATGTTTAAGTCCTGCAGCTCGGTTGGTTTGAAGTTGTAGACGCTTTGAGCAGGATACTTTAAAGTTCATAAGCTGTTTCCTTAGCAGTTTAACTTTAGCACCATTGTGTTGACTTAAGAAGTTTTTGACCGCTGGCTACACACCCTTATTAAACAGTAATCAATAACTGTATTAGGCGGTGGTGTTTTTGAGCTCACTGTGATCTAAATAGCTAATATTACGCGTTATTCCGCTGGTTCTCGACCATAGCACAGTTAGCAAGCTAGCGTTAATGAGCTGTCACTTAGCGTTAACGTCACACAGCTCCAACTCACCCATAAAACCTTAAAGGAGATTAAAATAATTTCTTTTCTACTGCTTGGTGGCTTAAAGTTGCCACCAGCGCCATTTAAATTGCACCAGAGCACTGAAGCCTTATTTTCAGATTTGTATTTATTTATTTTTTGTTAATCAAAACTGCTTTAAACGTTTCGTCTTACGGAGGTTGATTGGCTGACCAAACTGAGGGACAGGTTTGAAACACAGAGTTAAGTAATAATAGTCAGTGGTTTACAGACACTTTTAAGAGGTTTTGTCACCCAAAGGTTTCCAAAAAAAAAAAAAACTTCGCAGAAACAATCGCACCTCTTTCATTGAATGGGAGGATGGGTGGCGCTTCACCTCTGTGATCCTGTCAGTCCTGTTTACTCAAAGAACTGCTTTACACCTACTGAACATCACTTCCTCATTCCTCGGACCAAAGATGATGTTTGAGGATTTATAGGAAGCTGAATCAGGTGTTGGGGATGCACTGCTGCTTCCCACGAAGTTCTTGGAAAGGTCACAGCACAGTAACTGGACCATTTTGAGTAGAGTGTGTTGTGAAATTTTCAAACTCATCTTCTTCTCTTCTCTCTTTTTAAAGTGGTGACGTCACTCTCCTACCCAGCAGTGACCATCCCTCCTTAGTTCGCCTAATTTGCTGCAAACTAAGCAACTTTGTCACTAGACTTGGTGACTTTTAATACCCCTTTAGCTGCCTTTTCCTGGCTCATAATGACCCTGTGTGGCTTTGAGTAAGCGCAAGAGCATGGTTAGTCCACTTGAGTCTGTCTTCGATCACCTAACAGAAATTTGTCAATTTCCGGCCAATTAAGAACAAATGAATGAAAAAGGAATTAAAGAAAGCAACCCCTTAAAAAAATGGAAAACCTTGCCTTCTAAGCAACCAGTAAAGCACATATAGACAGTGCTCCTCTGTGAGGGAAGATCAAACTTTCTTGCAGAATCCAAGTGAAGTCCACTTTGTAACATTATACCCCAGAGTTTACATGTAAACACAGACATTTTTTGCGGTTATAAAATTAACCACAAGTCACCAGCCATTAAACGTTAATGCTGCTTGCAGGGGTGTGTATGTGCATCATGTGCTCAACCCAAGTACCACACCTAACTTTAAACTACCAAAAGTGACCAGGTGTGAGTCAGCGTCTCAACACAAAGTCTAGAGTTGATGTATGAAAACGGTTTTGACAGTATGCGTCAATTGATACTGAACTCCCTTAGGTCCATAATTATTTATGTCATTAACATTACAAGACTCGAGTGTGCATTAACTGGCCTAATATAGAGCTGGAAAAAATGTGTTACTTTCATCTATTTTTATAAGATTCTGTTCCATTGCTAATTTTTCTTTCAGCAATAATTACTTACTGTAGGATAATAATTAATCTTTTTTTTTCCACAGTATTTTTAATTACTGTAGGGAAATAAACTAATCTTTAATATTTTTTTTGAGTCTTTCAGCTCTTCAAAAAACCTTCAGTCTTTGAATGATTAGCTAACACTGTAATGTTACATAACAGAGAAAAGACAAATATTGACCTCTGATGTGATACCATAAAGCTGTCTTGTTTCCTGAAAGGATGCTTGCTGATTCCAGTATGTTATTCTACCTCTAATATTTGTTTTTCTCAGTTCATAATAGCTTAGGAGATCCTATTATCTTTCCTTTTTTATTATTATTATTCTCCCCAAACATGGATATTAATATTTTGAAATTTAAAATTTTAATGCTCATCTCAAAAAGCACTTTAATTTGTTGATGAAATCGATCACTTTTTATAGAGTCACTAAATATTGCCTTTCTAAACATAATTAATGCTTTCTGTTTGTGAAACTGAGAGTGGGATGCATCCCAGAGCTCAATGCTGAAAAGATAACAGTAAATTTAGTTAGCAGTGAATCCACATATTCCAAATCTCTCTGTTAAATCGGTCGTTTCTTTTCCTCACACAGGAGGCCGATGCATTAATGCCGCGGTGAGCTTGTAACACTCGATTCTGGTGTTTTGTTTTGGGGAGTTTTCTTGTTTTTAGACTACCGCTATTTTTATCAAGCCTCAGGCATGCAAAAAGTCTGTGTTTATCGTGTGCATTCAGTGGGCGTTTTGAGGAAGTCTTTTTGGCACTGTTAAATTCACGTCTTGGGTTTACCACATTCTTGCCAGATGATCAGCAGAAGCTGCTGGTCTCAAGTACATGTTATAGCTGTGAAATGACTACAAAATACTGTTCACGCTTACAGTCAACAAACAGCGTACATTTGACCAAACGGAAGTGCTCATATTGATCCAGCTGTTGCCACTGGCCACATTATAACTCAAGTTTTACTTGCGCTGTATGCTCACATGTATGCTGTGATTACAGCTTGCAGTAGTGTAAAGACAATGATGGGCATTTACTGTCTTTCTTTTCTAAAGAAAAACTGTAATGGCAATTTATTACATCTAGTGACACAACATGAGTCAAATATGTTAACAGAAGTAAACCTATGGTAGTGTTTTCAATGGAATATAATTGCTTAGCACTTTAGTTCCACAGTAACAAAAGGAACTTAACCTTAAAGTAACTCTTCAGTTGAATTTGAACATTATTTTTATTTGGGATGTATGGTACAGCTTTTTAGCAAGTTGGTTAAAGCGCTGCTTTTCCACCACGTAACCTTATTGGCAGGTTTCATCCACTGTTTGCATTTCCTGTCATACAGAGTCTGTCAAGCCAGTGCTGCAGTAGTGGTGCTGTAGAAGGTGTAAGCATTCACCTTTTTAGCCAATAACCCGTGGGTGACACATGTCTCTCGCTTTCAGATATGTCTGGGCTTGTTGTTGTGCATACTTAGGAACGTAAACACATGGTACATGAGACCTTTTTTTCTTTTTTATCTCTCCCTTTTCTTTTTTATAGCACATAAAAATGTAAATAGAGTGCACAGCCCTAAGCCTGGTGTTTTCAAAGCTACTGAGTGGTCGTCCTGTGTTCTGCCTGCTGGACGCTACACACTGCTCTTGGCTGTGTCATTTCCAAAGTGAGAACACAGCAGATGCTCGCAAGCTCCAGCTTTATGCTACATGTGAGAAATAACAAGTTTGGGGAGTGTCTCACCATGATCTGACTTTTTCAGTAGTTTGTGTGAAAACAACTTAAGCCTCCCTTTTTAAAAAATTGTATTTAATTTTTTTCAAGGGAAAAACTTAATTTTACTGACTAGAAATACTAAAATACTAGAATTTAAAACTAAACTGCACTGATTAGAACAGATGTGATCCGTACAACTTTCCACCCTGCTGGTTAAGAACATTTTGGCTTCTTGCAACTCTTGTATTTCTTCTCCCAGCTATTAAAGTGACCTTTAATTTTTTAGGTGATTAATCCTATACATACCCTTATCCAGTATATATCATTTATCCCTATTAAAGGTTTAAAAATGGTATTAAAAAATGGATCTCATCCAAGTTTACACCAAATAAACTGCTGAGCAGCACAAGTTGGTTTGTTTTGTCTCATAGTTGTCATGAAACAGTTTGTAAAAGCCCTAAATCAAAAAAGTAGAAGCAGGGATTACGAGGAATAAAATAAATTTTTGGTAAAAAATTATTTAAGCTGTAAATTTACTTTATGAAAACAATATCTAGTAAGGGTGCATGGTTTCCTGTATGGTTTGGGTAAAGAGTAAGTTTACAGGTTAATGTTTCGATGACATATTAATTTTCAAACAGTATCAAATCTATGTGCTTACACCTGTGCCTCAGACTTTGAAGATGAGACCACAATTTATGAGAAAAAGCAGAATTTCTGGCATTTCAAAAGGATTAAAATAAAATGTTTTCCCTCTTCATCTGTATGTAGTGAAACCTCACCTCAGTAGTTCATCTGATCAGGTCGTCTAACAAGGTTAAAAATGTGCTGTGCGACATTTCACTAAACTATATTAGCGTTTACTAAATGAAATCTCTTCAGTCTTTTCTAAGTAGTTAACCAATTATTCCTTTGTTATTAAGACAACCTCTGTCAGCTTATTAAGTGTGATGCTTTGTACTGGTTCTTGTTTACCTTAGCCACAAGCTTGTTGGATACCCAGGACAAGCAGCACTGCCACTATGGCCTCTGTTTAACTTGGGAGGTGCGTTTGCAGCAGCCGTTTACTTGAAGGGCAAATATTGTGTTTCATTTTAGGGCCAGGAGAAAGTCACAGAAGTGCTTTTTACGGTCATTAACACTGACACAATAAGGAATATAGGGAACAGTAATAATGACACTTTTCTGCTTGAGATTCTTATAAGTAAGTAAGCAAAATTTTATTTATATAGCACATTTCTAGATAAAAGATCACAAAGTGCTTCACAAGGCATCTCAGGGATCTACTGGGGACATAGGGCTGTAAAAGTTCAATGATGTAGGCTGGTGCTTGTCCTTGAAGAGTTTTAAATGTCAGAACCAGTATCTTAAATGGACTCTGAATTAACGGGGAGCCAGTGCAACTGTATAAGCAACGGTGT